CGACATAGATCACAAATCATTCCGAAAGATAATTGTTGTTTTTATGCGAAAAACGAAGGGTTACGTTTTTTCTTCTAAACAAATTCAAACATTTCGTATTTGTAATTGAACAGATTCGCTACGATATTCAAAAAACGTACGTTATTAAACACATTTTAAAACAAAGCGGATGTATCCATCAACAATTTTTTTTCAAGATTTCTTCATACTTTTACACGGTCACAGATGAGCCCCAAAGTTTATAAAACAAATATTTCAAACTGAAATGCGCTGAACTGTTTATAACGTAAACTGAAGACAATTGTATGTCTTAGACTAGTTAGAATGTAGCATGTGCTAAATGGCTGCATTATTGATGACTGCACGACTTTGTCAAATAAGTAGGTCACGTAATCCATTTTCTTTACAAATAAATATAATTCCTTGGACCTTTTTTCTAAAAGTATTAGTATAATATACGTCTGTTTTCAAAATCTCGTACGATTGAAACGACTGCGAGTTCAAAATATTGGAAAACAAACTCGAGAAAACGAAAAAACAGTAGACAAATATCAACCAATTGTAGCGAACTGATTGTCTTCAAAATTAGGCAAAATGCTCAGTATTAGTCCCTTATACATTATTTAAACTTTCAGCATTGTATCTTGTATAGTTTTCAAGAGTATTCTGATTGTTTATAACATATATGATATGGCTCCAGCGTTCACTTGACATTTCGTCACGTGGCAAAATCACGTAACCTTTTTTTACTATTATGATCACTTACTAGTAGTTTGAATTTCTCTTTATTAATGGTACAGTGCCGATTTCTAGAACAAACCATTTTTAATGATTTTCTTTTGGCCAATTTCATAGTTTATTGATTGTATAATTTCACAGGTATTATACATTTCTTTCTCAGCGACTCAGTATTGTGTTGAAATCTTTTGGATACTAATGTTATAGTATTATTAACGCCTATCTTAGAAATTTCCTCATAAAATATCGTTGGACCCTCGTAGAGTTGGTTCTGCCTACAGTGTGCCCATTGGCAAGCCACCTTGTGATTTCTACACGTACTAGCCATATATGAAAAATTTATTTACTATCAAGATACCTTCTTTACCTATCAATATACCTTCTTTACCGGCTTCTTCACCGGCTTTTCTCCGTTCTTTTTGTCGAACCTTATTTTAAAAAGTTAGGTTTTCTGCGGTGATTGTGATGTGGGTGTCGTTCCACTACCTTCCAGATTCTGGAATTTTAGACCCCCAAGCACCAGTTTATGGAGTAGTACCCTTTATTTTGTACCTTACGTTTAGTTGTTTTAGTTTCGGTGCTACCCCGTCCATTTTTAATGGGATTTTAACCTCCAGCGATAAGTACTCTTTTGTATAACATTGAACCACGTTAATTAATACATGAAGTTTGTTCAATATCTGTTTCCTTTTAGTGGAAAGGCATTGCGGAGAACTACCATTCACACTCCTCCAGCTTCGTTTTGTAGCTGCCTTGTAGCTGTTTCGCAACCGATTTTGTTGGAAGCCATCTCTTCCCCTTGATAAAAAACTCTGATGTGAACAGGTAAAATATCATTTTAATTGGGTATTTTATAGATATTAATATATTATTATTGACTGAAATTCTTAGAGTGTTCTTGATTTTGTTTTGCATTTTACGTATTCAAATTTAGGGCAGTGCCTACATGTCACTGTCTTTTGGGCTTACTGCAATATATCGATCATGATTTTGATTTTTGAGCTGCCATAACTTTAGACAAAGGGATAACTTTCTGAGGGTATATCTTTTCTTACCGTTGCTTTACTTTTCTTGTGAAAGAGAATGTACATGGATATTTCTTCAAGATTTTAGTGTTTCTCTCAGACATAGAGTAGAGAGTAGATTTTTAAGCAGTTTTTCTCTCTCTAGGGTTTTTTGTATACCGTAAATTCGGGAAAACGAGGTAAGCAGCCCCTACCTTGTGACGACCTCACCTCACTGCTCACTACTAGCCACTGGTTTTTGACTTGAGCGTTTGTGAGCTGAGGACATCTCAGCTGCGCCAAGAGTTTCAACTGGAAGAAGACCATTATCCAGATAAGTTTAGGTTTAGGCGTTAAAGTTTTTTTAAAGCCTATATTTGTAAGGCCTTCATACGAGTACCATGGTAAACGTTTTGCAGGATTAATTATCACGGTCTAACAATTTTATTGTCAGGTAGTTTTGGATAACATCATTTCTTTTAACTTGCACTCCTGTGGTGGAGCATATGTGCTGCTTTTTTTTGATAATATATATATATATATTTTTTTAATTTTGTTTTATTTGGCTCTCTGTATACAGTTAATTAGGTCTTGTCATTACTGTTAGATTCTTTTCTTTGTGTGGTGGTCAGGCAAAACAAGTTCCGACTAACATCTCGGGGATTTGTGGCTTAATCCTCGTTGAGTCACTGGCGCTCTTAACCGCCCTACTCTCCGCTTTAGTGAGCTAGGGCCTTGACAGCTGTTTTGCATTGGCTGACCCTTAGATTTCATTTATAGTGTTTTATTAATGCATTAATTAATTTAAAAAAAAGGAAAGAGGAATCACACCACCATTTCCTCTTGTTTATTAAAAAAGCGTGGCAATTTGTCAGTGTCAAGTGTAGTGGTATAAAGATCCAGTAAACCAAGAGGCGTCGTAGCGTAATGCGAAAAAGCGGCGGTTGCTGAACCGCAAGACGGAGGTTCAAATCCACAAAGCTCCTTTTTTGCTATTATTGTTTTTTAATTTGGTGAAATAACTGGTTTTTCACATTATGTGCTGTTATTGCGAATAAACAGTTTTTCACACGCCCTAGAGAATGTAAGCTTGCAAACAGGAAACCAGCGGCATATAGTACGTATGATTGTGTATATTTCTTTAAAATTACTTTGATGATATTTCAGAAACACTATGTCGGATCATAGCAGATATTTTTTGAAAACATATATCTTGCACAATGTGCAGATAACAATATGTACGAAAAAATAAGCAGCATTATAGTTGCTATAGTTAATAAATACAAAATGTTAATAAATATTTCATATAGTTTCATACTATGCACAACAATACAAATTTTAGACGCAAAAAAGGATTATGTTACATGTTAAGATATAATTGGAATTGCGTAGTTTCCGATTTTTTGTATATTTAACTTTCACGTTGTGTTAGGGCTTCCTCTGTTTCATCACTCCCGAAAAGAGAGATTACCTCTATGTTATGCTGCCATAATTGAAAAATACAAACTATGCAAAAAATGTCTACGCTGTTGATGAAATGAGCACCTACGCTTAACAGTAACACGGTAAATACAAAAACTGTGGGTTAGCTCACTAAATTTTATAAGCATCCTTCGCGGCTCCAAGAGGTACCTAATTAGACGGCGCAACGAAAACTTGAGCGTATTATCACAAACAAAATTTCGGATGTCTTTTATTATTGTTGGTTAATAATTTACACATCTAAGATATATGTTTTCGAAAATTATCTGCTATGATCCGACATAGTGTATCCGAAATTTCATCAAAGTAATATACAAAAATATATATAAACAATCACACGTATACAACTGGTTTCCTGTTTGCGAGCAATAAAAGTACACATAATGTGAAAAAGCATTTATTTCTCCAATTTTAAAAAAAAATAATAGCAAAAAAAGGAGCTTTGTGGATTTGTACCTCCGTCCTGCGGTTCAGTAATAGCCGCTCTTTCCCATTACGCTACGACGCCTCTTGGTTTACTGGATCTTTATAACCACTATACTTGACACTGACAAATACCAATCGAACGTTGGAGGTATATCACTGTGTTAGAAACATTTAGAATACTCTTGTAAACTATACAAGATACAATGCTGAACTTTAAATAATGTACCAGAGACTAATACCGGGCATTTTGCCTAATTTTGAAGACGGTCAGTTCGCTACAATTGGTTGATATTCCTCTACTGTTTTTTCGTTTTCTCGAGTTTATTTTTCAACATTTTGAACTCGCAGTCGTTTTGATCGAACGAGATTTCGAAAACAGACGTATACTATATTAATACTTTTAGAAAAATACGTGACCTACTTATTTGACAAAGTCATGCAATAATGAAGCCATTTAGCACATGCTACATACTAACTAGTCTAATACAGTTTGAAACATAATTGGTGGTCAAACGGTTGGTCACTGGGTCCCGGGGGGAGTGTGTGTGGTGTTGGTACTCCGCTCCAAAAAACCCTTGTGAAATGACCATAGTCTACAAAAGACAACAACCAACAAGTCCTATATCCGACCTTCGTCGAACTTGGCCCTGACTTCGGCAGGTGTCCGCCGAAGGTATGATGCTGGGAGGGCCCCCCAATAGAGTCATATCGACAACGGGAAAGGCAAAAGCGGGACTCCGGCGTTTAAAAACTGATGCACACCAGCAGGGGTGGGGCGGACGGACAATACGACAACCAGGCCACGAAAAGGATTACGATTATCGGATGACTAATGGAGGACTCAAATTTCTGGCTGATGACATGGTAATTCAGAGGGAGTAAAAAATCCTCCCAAGCCCAAGGTGTAACACCATCGTGCCGAGGGGCTACAAGACAGAGGGAGAGAAGTGTATTCCGAGCGATGCCTGGCGGACCGGGCGACCCGCCAGGGAGATAGCCTTACTGCCGTATGCGGGGCTCCGCGGCACCTGACCGAGATTTCCCTAGCTACTCGTGGGATCAAGTATGGAAAGTAAGAAAGAAAAAAACAAACAGTCAAATGCAGAAGGAAGAAGGCACCCTAATATAGGTCAGGAGGACATTTGTTATATTGCGGATATATCACCCGTGGAACAATGGAAGAGTCTGCTGCCAAGCTGGACGAGAGTACATAGATGAAACTCGATTACAGAGGGAATCAAACACGAGCTAAAGACTCCCGAAATTGTACCTAGCCAGTGTTCAAAGAAAATAAAACTCGCAGAGGAAAATGCTAACGAAGCCATACGGAAAAAAGAGAACCCCGTTGTTATGGACTTCCAAGAAATGTTGGAAACGATGCAGAAATGTGCAAAGAAATTAGACGGAATCGTCCAAGTCCACCAAAATACCAATAAGGGTATAAAAGAGGTTAATATGGACCTGAAAAAATGTAGCATGTTTTTGGACAGGGAGTCGGTCAAGCAGTGGCTCGAAAGGGAGAAATGGGAGAAGGTGGAACCTCAGACTTTTGATGTAGACTGTCAAACCTATCCAGTGACGCACTCAGTTGCCATCCAGGCAGTTTGGCAGGAAATTAAGAAGGACAAAGAGGTAACGGAGGAAAACATCAGGAGGGATATACAATTCAATGCAGAAGGATTTGAGGGCCTGGGAGGGGTGATAGACTTGGACTGGCCGTCAGATTTTTATAAAAACACTTCTCTACAAACAGGGAGTGTTGAAAGATTAATGTAGTAGTAGTACTAGAAAGATTTATTTAGCACATTTGGCTACATAAACAGAATAATTGTACACAACCTAGAATTAGTAAATTCAAGCCATATGATGTATGATGTAAATGCTGGGCAAGCTATAATTGTAGATTTAACAAGTGATTCCTCAATTTTACTTTAAATTTTGTCAAAGTTTTCTGGTCTTTTATCTCTGTGTATAATTTATTATATTCAATCAACCCTTGATGAAATACAGATTTGTAGCATGTGTTATACTTTACTTTTTAAATATATCTAAGGTATCAAGCTATGTTCTCGATAATAAAGGAAATGTTGCGATACGTATCTTGAAGAGGTCTCTGAACATAAATGAAGTGGTATGTCAGTTTAACATTCGACAAATGGAAAATATTAGGTTGCTATGTTTCTCCAAACATACCCTTATCCAAATTTCAAGAATATATAGATACGGTGTTTAGCTGCATTCGAGATAGTGGATGTGAGGTGATCTTAGCCGGAGACTTAAATGCAAAGTCTACATTCTGGGGTTCACCACTGACGGACCATAGAGGTAGATATTTAGAAGAATGGATAGCGGAATTAAACATGACTATAGTCAACTCAGGAGGGCTGCCAACTTTCCAGAGAGGAGAAAGCCGATCTTTTATCGACGTGACTGCTGCCACCTCGACAATATCTACTAAAGTAACCCACTGGAAAGTCCTGCCAGGAGAGACACTGAGCTATAATAACCATATCTACTTCGAGCTGGATATTCAAGGGACAACAGGCCGGAAGCCAGGCGGTAGAAGATCTCTTTTTGATGCCAAAGCTTTTAAGGAAAACATGAATACCATCAACCATGCAAATGTTGAGACTCCGGAGGAGCTAATGGCTGTCTTAGAAGAGGCAACTAGAAAAAGCACCATCCATACCCGAGAGGAAAAACGAAAACTTCCATACTGGTGGACAGTACAAATAGAACGGCAACGAGAAGCCTGTCTTAAATATAAGAGAAAAGTGACAAGGGAACGAGCCAAACAAAGAATGAGTAAAGATGACTGGACATACAGGACCTATACAAAACAGCTTGGAAGGAGCTAAAGAAACAAATCGCCCGTTCCAAAAGACTACACTAAAAAACGTACGTAAGAAGCTTGAAGACAACATCTGGGGATGGGCATACCAGATCGTAATGAAGCAGATAAAGGGCTTTTCACTTCCTTTTGAGCTTTCAAAGACGCAAAGAACAAAAATAATTGAACACCTTTTTCCACACAGAGACGATAACTGGCAGACGGGAACCAAGATAACCGAAGATATCCAGCTCTTCACGATGGAGGAACTACCTGAATCAGCAGCTCAAATTAAAGTGGGAAAGATCCCAGGTCCGGACGGCATACATCCGGAGCAATAACGATAACGGTGGAGGTTATACCTGAAACCATACTGAAGGTGCTTAACAACCTACTGTTCTCGCCGGGCTTCCCAACAATCTGGAAAAAAGCAACTATCACACTGATATGGAAAGGAAAACCCATGGAGTCCCCGTCATCTTTAAGGCCTAACTGCATGCTGAGCGTCTCTGGAAAACTCTTCGAACGTTTTAATAAAAGCAAGAATTGAGGGTGAATTAAAAACCAAAACCGACCTGTCGTACGCGCAGTATGGTTTCAGAAAAGGGAGGTCGACCGCAGAAGCGATAAAGGTGGTCGTGGACACGGTAAACGCAAGTCATATGAAATGGTGTGCGCTGATAGCGTTAGATGTTGAAAATGCTTTCAACTCTGCAACGTGGAGCCTGGTTATCAAAGAAATGTACGCTAAAGACATCTCCAGGTACTTGATAAATACCGTGGAAAGTTATTTCCTGGATCGGGCCCTACAGGTGTCTAGACATAGAACAAGGGACATGTGTGCAGGAGTACCCCAGGGATCAGTGTTGGGATCGCTGCTATGGAACATCCTTTACGATGGCGGATTGAATCTTCCACTACCGGAGGAGGTAAAATGTATCGCCTATGCTGATGACCTGGCAATCATGGTGCAGGCAAATCATGTAAGACAGCTACAAATCGTGGTTAAGGAAGCACTAGCGAGAATAGATGAGTGGATGACAGCAATAGATCTGGCTATGGCTCCTCACAAAACGGAAGCGATCATCTTGAGAGGCCAGCGTAAAAGGGTCGCACCTAATTTTCAAATTAGGGGCACCACAATATCGCCAAAGAGGCACTTGACATATCTTGGAGAGACGCTAGATGACAGGATGACTTTTGGAGAACACGTAAGGCGGGTCGTGAGTAAAGTCGACAAGAGGGTGGCGGTGCTCACTAGAATCTTACCGAATGTGGGGGGTCCAACTAGCTCAAAAAGAGCAGCTATAAGTGAAGTCATCCACTCAAGCATCCTGTATGCTGTGCCAGTATAGCACCAAGTCGTACATATAAAGAAATATGAGAAGATGTTGCAAGGAAGTCAAAGAAAGGCCCTTTTAAGACTGACAAGCGAGTACCGGACAGTGTCGACAGCGGCTGTACAGGTCATTGCCGCTGTACCTCCTATACCTTTGCTGATTGACGAGAGGATTCGCCTGTGCAACAGCGACGCCGACCTACACGGGTATCACTTTTTTTGACATTATGTAGGTTTTTCTACAAGATATTAACTTAGCACTTAGTTTTACGTGTTGCCTAAACGTCATGAGGATTGTTATCAATCTTTGGCTCTGATGTGATGTAAAATCTGCTTCTGAGATGGCATTACTGGAGGTCTCACCTGTAAGTTGTATGTGTTAATGATAATTAGATTGGGTTCTTGTCTCAAATACACTTAATTGAGATTCAAAGCTAGAAATTAGTTGCGCATCCACTTTTTCTTATCCATTCTGGAAATTACATATACAAATTTGCTGAATTTAAAAAATGAGAGAGATAAGAAATAATTATATTCACCGTAGACTGTCGAATTACAAGCCATATACATGCGAACAGTAATTCCACACAACGCGGGCGCGGTGATGATTTCCCGTAATTCTCCTCAGTTTTTCGTAATTTATAACTTTGAACATAACCTCTCTTCAGAAAGCACAACATAAAAATAACCCGTCGGGCACAGCCAATAGATATAGGTACTTCATTGACAGCATATTCAGTAATGATTTTCTCACACAGCAAATATTACTGATTTTATACACATGCAGACCAATACACATAATCATCTAGATGCGATCTTGCTATTCAACCAACTTTCTTCTCAGAGATAAAAACAACAGACAAGGACCATTTGGCCTCACAAAACACATGCAACCAATAATGCGTTTAGTTTAGTTGAGTGATTTCTCCTTAGATGGAGGTTCACAACGATACTAGTGAGCAAACGTGGAATGACTGTTTGCACCCTAAAAACTACCTAGTTTGCAAGATGACATCTTATAGGTTTTTTTTTTGACGTTTTATAGGCTTTTTACATGATACCCATGCCGATGCACGCTAGAACTCTGGAAAGGAAGGTAATCCTGTAGAAGTGGCAACGCGAGTGGGAAGCACATAGCGAAATAGCGGCCTGGACTAAACAGTTAATCCCGAATGTAGTACAATGGGTAAATTGCAAACACTATGTGGATTACTACCTGTTGCAGTTCTTAACTGGGCATGGCTCGGCTGAACATACAGTGCTAAATTGCGAGAGATGACAGGTATGGAGAAGTGCTCTCGACAGGCAATTTGGAGAAAAGACTAATAAGGCAAACATCACACGCCTCATGATGGAGAATAGGCAAAACTGGAATGTCGCACAAAAGTTCATCAGAAACGTGATGACAACTAAAAGACCAGACGGAAAACTGGTATAAGAACGGAGATAGCAAAACGGATTAGACGCTGCGACTTTCATGAAGACATACCACAAAAGTGGTGTTACCACGTAGTCGTGAGCTAGAGGAGGTGGTTTAGTGGGTAGTCAGTTTACTAAAATGTAGCTGGAGTCCCACACTCCCATGCGCGCTGGAACCATGGTGTATGGGGTCCGTAAAATGGATTCCACATCCCGGTCCCCTAGGACCACTAAAAAAAACATACTAACTAGTCTAAGATAGTTTGAAACATAATTGAGTCTTCAGATCAGCGAATTTCAGTATGAAATATTTTTCTTAAATTTTAGGGCTCATCTGTGACCGTGTTCAAATTTCAGCTCGAAATATGTATACACCAGAGTATAAAGAAAACTTCAAAAAAATGTTTTCTTCGTAACAAAAGGTGATGTACACATCCGCTTTGTTTTAAAATGTGTACAATAAAGTATGTTTTTCGGATATCGTAGTGAATCTGTTCAATTACTCATAAATGCGAACTGTTTGAATTTGTTTAGAAGTAAACAAGTAACCCTTCGTCTTTCGCATAAAAACAACAATTAGATAATTATATTAGATAAACTCGTGTATTTTGTTATAAAATGCCGTTTGAATGGACCCTGTATATTGCTCAGTCAACTAGTACTGATGGCCGGAAGACTACAGATTTGAAGAACATCAAATGGATGCGTGAAATTCTCGTCGCGTTACCAGCAAGTGTCAAAACCTGCATTTTGCCTCGGCTTTCGGCCCTAACTTTTTTACTATTAGTCGGATCTTTTTACGTGTGGTCTCGTTCCGTAGGTCTCATAAATACATAAGAATGATCTTTGAAGAGTTTTTTCGTTCCTGTCAACACTTTCGATTGAATCCCAAAAAACACGTTTTCTCATTCTTTGTTGTCGAATAAAAAGTTTTGCCACAAAAATTGGTGTACCCATGTTATGCGTCCATGTTTTAAATACCCCCTTGAACACCTTGCACCAATAAAACCAGACTTCACAATTATTTCGCAAACCAGGGGTATTTTCGTCTAATATGATTAGACTAATAACAATCCGCAGACTTAATACATAATAAATTTCAAGTTTTATGATAAATATGTATACATCACAAATAAATATTGAACTTGTAGCGTTCGCCTTACAGAAAAATATCCAATAAAGACCTAAAACAAACCTACACTGGGGTAGTGGTAGTAGACTACGGAGCAGCCTGAATTTTGTTGGCACTAATAAAACAAATTAAGTAAAATCGATGATCCTCACCCTTGTCAATAAGTTTCCGATGACAAGCACCACACAAGACTTCCTCATATACTGAAAACCCTTTCTGATGTACCCTTACAAGTTTCTTTTGGAGACTGAAGTAGTCAGCCATCAGAATTTTCTTACATCCCTCTTGAACAGATACCTTCAAAAAATATCAAGATATAATAAGACAATTTATTATGAAAGTACAGGGTGGACTAGAAATACGTACGAATTTCAAAACCGCATTGCTCGGGTAGTGGGAGTAAGTACCGATATTGGGCCGCAGAAAATCCCAAATTAAAACATTTACATTCGCTTTATGTTACAGTTTGGGTGGTCATGTCAGCTGAAGGAATCATCGGACCCATTTCTTGGAACAGTAAATACTAATCGCTACACAACAATATGGCGCGTCATCTCATACTGCCAACGAGTCTAATATCGCGACGAGGGGATATTCCGTGGCCTTCCCGGGGCCCAGATCAAACGCCACTGGATTTTTTCTCTGGGTATACCTCAAGAGCCACGTTTAAGCCAATAAACAGTAGACGATTGCCCAGCTCAAGAACAAGATTACCGAGGAGATGTCCGCTATCCCACGAGCGACGTGCCAGGGAGTTTTCGCGAATTTGAAATCAAGATTCGAGGAGTGCGTACATCTCCATGGCTCACATCTCAATGGTGTTATTTATGTTAAAAAAAAATCCCATGTGTCTACTTTATTAAAAATATAAATTATCTTCCCTACGCTTTGTAGTTTTTTCTATTATTTTTTTAAATCAGCTCAACTTAATGGCCCACCCTGTATTGTTTATAATATGCGAACAAAATGACAAAAAATCTTGCATAAAGAGTAAGTGTAATATTTTTTTAAGAAACAATGATTTTAATCAATAAAAAAGAGAAAATCACAGACCTGTAGATTATATTGATTGAGCATCTTCACCAATGAATTCTTCAACCCTGGTACTTCTAAATCAGGTTTGATTTTACAGACTAGTACGGTGGGATCGACATATGTTCCTATGCTTTGTAACAAAAATGTTACAAACTCTGGAAAGATATCAAGTTGTCGTTATTAACCATTTTTTAATATCAATGAACGACTGAAAATACTGTACCCCCGTAAAACTTTCAAGTTTGGAAATAGCAGTACAGAAGAGGGGTTTTAGAAAAATCTTGGTATTTCGAAAATCGAATATCGGTATAGATTTCGACGTGCTCTTTCTGAATTTAAAATTTGCCATATCATATATCGTCGTCGAAAAATCAAAACCGTGTAACTCAAAAATAGTAGTTTTACAGGAGAGACAAAAACTTTTCGCAACTGATGGTTATTGTGAAAAAATAAGTCTTGGTAACCTGAGAAGATAGTCTGTTCATGAACTAGACATTAAGGTAAAAACGAATCATAATCGTTAGTTTTAAAGAAAACATCTATATGATGAATTACGAGGCTTCTAGCCAAAATTAATGAAACTTGTATCAAGATACGAGGTTTAATCTTCCACTATACATAAGTAAATGTTTGTAATAATTATTAAATATTGGTAAATAATAACTAAAATTTGGTAATAATAATACACTGGTAGTGTGGTAGTACAACATTGCTTACCTTAAGATGGGGTAAAAGTAGGAGAAATCACGTCGCGATTTTTTCTTGGTGAATTGTTTCATCTTTATTCACAAGGGCAGTTACAAAGGGTTGTCTTTATTTCTAGTCCATTTTTACTCAAAACCTATCGAAAAGGTCCTGTCTTTGATCATCAGTTATGTTCCGGTACTGTTTCTTGTTATGTTGTTTGTAGAATTATTGCATTTTTTCGAACTGCATCTTTCCCCCATTTTTCTAGCTCCCTTTCACTAGATGCTCCATTTTCCGCCAACCTTTTCTTGCCTTCATATTCCTTCCCGAGCATACGAAATAATTTTGCTTTATTCCTTTTCCATTCGTTTTTATCTTGTTCACTTTTTTTCGCTCTTTTCGTCTTGTTTGATTGTATATTGTCTGCAATATCTTCACGTCGAAGGCGCTTGGTGTATGTACTCTTTTGATCTTTTATTTTTTGCACCCGCTGAAGAGTCTTCTGAATCTGGGCAGTAGCTAAACGCAGAGTCCTCCGAAATAGGTGCATCAGACAGACAATCGTTTTCTTCAATAGTTGATCTAGTTGACTGGTAGATACGTGACTTTCGCATTTCAACAGCAATTATATTGAGATACGAGTATATATTACTTGCTCGCAGCGCACGCGTTTATCGTTCAATCCTGATACGCAATCAGCGCAGAAAAGTATTCGAAAAAATAATGAGCTCGTACCTCAAAAGCGCTAAACAGTGAGACACGAGGTTTTGACTTTATGACGACGATATGTCCCGATCGGGCTGCTAAATCGGGAAAACAGTGCTTTTTTCACGACTAACACGAGAAATCACCATTATTGACCACGATGCCTTATTGAGAAGTAGCATTTCTCTCACTAAGTAAATAATGAGAAGAAAAAACGCCTATACGAGCCCCTTCCCATTTCGTTGGCCCACTTCAAGATTTGTACCAAAATATGCTTTTATAAACTGATCATGACGAAACTATTTACTTCTAAAACAATTTATTTTCTCAAAAACATTTTAGGTACACTACGGTCGTAGGTATTACTTTATACATCCATCTCCCCAAACATGCATACGAAATCGGCCTCTATGCGGGGACATTTGTGTTAACTCAAAGACATGAGTTTTTCAGTTTTTATCTCACCGCCACGAAAATTTTCCCGTCAGCGTATAAAACTTCCACATTTATGCTTGTCACTAACAGTATGACAACTTGGTTCTCAGGAGCATGTGGTTTTTGTGTTTACCCATTTCAAGATCAATATCTTCGATATAAAACATAGTTAGTGCCTAAAGATACAACTACAATGTCGATAGTCTATATTACATTTTTTAATAAACTAAGTGAAAACACCCAATCCATGACCATATGCAAGCGCAAGTAACAGCTGTATTACCGATCGACTTGCGCAGTGTGCAATTTCCCTTGGTGAAGTTAAGCTACGCACATCGTACCATTAGTCAATCTGCTTACTTATGACGTATGGCGGCATTGTGACGCAGCCTGCCTAAAACCTTGAAAATAATTATAGTTAATGTCATTCGAAGCGTATCCTGACAATTTCATTGTCAGTTTGACAACTGAACATTATATTTCGAAATATTTTACAATTCATGTAGTTCTCCTTCCTGAATATTTATTTATTTATTCCCAACAGGTACCACCCAATTACAGAAAAATACAAGAAAAAGTTACATAATTAGCAACGGCGGTAACGCCAAACACAACAAAAACTTAAAAAAAGAAAAAACAAACTCTCACTGACAAAGGTACCAGTCTCTGTAGCACTTCACCACAAAGTTCTCACTATCAAAAAATAAGTCACAGGAACTGCAAACAGAATTGAAATATGTACAAATCATATTTACCGGAGATCTAGACAATAAATTAGTATTACCAATAACTGGATAGAAAGTAATTTGAGCACGATTTCCCAACCTAGGCACACGAAAATTAAGCTTACTTAATATGAATGAACAATCAACTTGATTGTGTATGATTTTGTACAAAATATGTAGCGCTGATATGTTGCGTCTAAGATGCAAAGACTCTATATCAAAAATGTTTAATAAAATAGAATGGTCGAAACCTCTTTCAGGATAATTGCCATAACATTTGTAATACAAATACATTAAAGCCTTACGCTGCATATATTCAATACTAACCCTTGAATTGTTGTAGATTGGAGACCAAATTAATGAAGCGTATTCCAGCTTACTTCTAATAAATGTAAAATATAAAAACTTTAGAGTTTATATGTTTGAAAACCCTGACCAATTCCTTACAAAAAAGTCTAGCATCTTAAACGCTGAATTCACCATTTGAGTGATGTGATCCTTGAATGTCAGCTTGGCATCGAATACAACACCCAAATCTTTGAACGGTTCTGTTTTTTCGAGTAAACAATCATTGATACTATAATCATAATTTTGCTTCCTACTAAAAGACAGAACTTTATACTTTGATACATTAATCGTAAGAGAGCTTCTGGAACACCAAGAATGCACCAAGTTCAAGCTGTTTTGAAGAGAGATACAGTCGTGATAGCTCTGAATAGCAGTATACATTTTTAAGTCATCAGCATAAAGTAAATGCATACCATAAACAACACAAAAAACAAAGGACCCAAATTGGATCCTTGGGGCACTCCAGATGTTGCTGTATAAGAATTAGATTTAAAACCACCAAACTCAATGTACAGATTTCTATCAAATAAATATGATCTGATCAACTTCAATAAAGATTTAGACAACCCAATCATTTCAAGCTTAGAAAAAAGCAAGTAATGATCTATCTGATCAAAGGCCTTTTGAATGTCGGTATAAATGACATCCAACTGACCCTGGTCATCTAATACCTCAGAGATAGTTTGAGTCAGGCATGTAAGATTTGTGACTGTTGATCTGCCAGCAACAAAACCATGCTGGTTAGGAGATAAAGTACATTTGACAGAGTTGAACATGGTATTATAAATAATAACCTCAAAAATCTTACCAAAATTGCAAAGTATCGCAATCTGCCTATAGTTACAAATATTACTTCTATCGCCAATTTTAAAGACAGGACATACCTTGGTCATTTTCCAGATACGAGGGTAAGAGCATGGTAATAATATCATATTGTAGATCATGCAAAGCGGTTTTGCCAATACATGAATACAATCCTTTATTAAAAAACTAGGCACACCATCATAGCCTGAAGTCATTTTATTCTTTAACTTTCTGGAAGCATGAATTATATCCGCTTCACTTACAGTGTTCAGAGATATATTCATACTAATTAGATTTGAAGTCATGAACTCAGAATTAGAAGAATCAGAATTTATAAACACAGTTGAAATTTTTTTTGCAAAAGCATCGACTATGTCCTGTGAAGAGGTACAAGTGTTTTCATTAAACGTCATGTTCCTTGGAATTCTATAGTTTTTCTTTTTTGCATTTACAAAAGACCAAAAATTAGTGGGATCCTTATTGATCCTATCCTCAGCATTTTTAATGTAAACTGAAAAAGAGATTATAATTTGATTTTTAATCATAGCTCGAAGTTCTTTGAATTTTAAATAACAGTGGCTTGAATGGGTTGCTTTGTACTTATTCCTGAACCTATCCTTTTCTCTTATATTTGAAATAATTTCCTTTGTAAACCAAGGAGGATATGAAAGAGGTTTCATTTTATATTTAGGAACGTTGTTCTCGAAAATTTCTCTTATGATTGAATAAAAACAATCACATGCTTCATTTCACGAATTGAAGACCAATCCGCAAATAAAAATAATATTGTAATACAAATACATTAAAGCCTTACGCTGCATATATTCAATACTAACCCTTGAATTGTTGTAGCTTGGAGACCAAATTAATGAAGCGTATTCCAGCTTACTTCTAATAAATGTAAAATATAAAAACTTTAGAGTTTATATGTTTGAAAACCCTGACCAATTCCTTACAAAAAAGTCTAGCATCTTAAACGCTGAATTCACCATTTGAGTGATGTGATCCTTGAATGTCAGCTTGGCATCGAATACAACACCCAAATCTTTGAACGGTTCTGTTTTTTCGAGTAAACAATCATTGATACTATAATCATAATTTTGCTTCCTACTAAAAGACAGAACTTTATACTTTGATACATTAATCGTAAGAGAGCTTCTGGAACACCAAGAATGCACCAAGTTCAAGCTGTTTTGAAGAGAGATACAGTCGTGATAGCTCTGAATAGCAGTATACATTTTTAAGTCATCAGCATAAAGTAAATGTATACCATAAACAACACAAAAAACAAAGGACCCAAATTGGATCCTTGGGGCACTCCAGATGTTGCTGTATAAGAATTAGATTTAAAACCACCAAACTCAATGTACAGATTTCTATCAAATAAATATGATCTGATCAACTTCAATAAAGATTTAGACAACCCAATCATTTCAAGCTTAGAAAAAAGCAAGTAATGATCTATCTGATCAAAGGCCTTTTGAATGTCGGTATAAATGACATCCAACTGACCCTGGTCATCTAATACCTCAGAGATAGTTTGAGTCAGGCATGTCAGATTTGTGACTGTTGATCTGCCAGCAACAAAACCATGCTGGTTAGGAGATAAAGTACATTTGACAGAGTTGAACATGGTATTATAAATAATAACCTCAAAAATCTTACCAAAATTGCAAAGTATCGCAATCTGCCTATAGTTACAAATATTACTTCTATCGCCAATTTTAAAGACGGACATACCTTGGTCATTTTCCAGATACGAGGGTAAGAGCATGGTAATAATATCATATTGTAGATCATGCAAAGCGGTTTTGCCAATACATGAATACAATCCTTTATTAAAAAACTAGGCACACCATCATAGCCTGAAGTCATTTTATTCTTTAACTTTCTGGAAGCATGAATTATATCCGCTTCACTTACAGTGTTCAGAGATATATTCATACTAATTAGATTTGAAGTCATGAACTCAGAATTAGAAGAATCAGAATTTATAAACACAGTTGAAATTTTTTTTGCAAAAGCATCGACTATGTCCTGTGAAGAGGTACAAGTGTTTTCATTAAACGTCATGTTCCTTGGAATTCTATAGTTTTTCTTTTTTGCATTTACAAAAGACCAAAAATTAGTGGGATCCTTATTGATCCTATCCTCAGCATTTTTAATGTAAACTGAAAAAGAGATTATAATTTGATTTTTAATCATAGCTCGAAGTTCTTTGAATTTTAAATAACAGTGGCTTGAATGGGTTGCTTTGTACTTATTCCTGAACCTATCCTTTTCTCTTATATTTGAAATAATTTCCTTTGTAAACCAAGGAGGATATGAAAGAGGTTTCATTTTATATTTAGGAACGTTGTTCTCGAAAATTTCTCTTATGATTGAATAAAAACAATCACATGCTTCATTTCACGAATTGAAGACCAATCCGCAAATAAAAATGCGCTGTACATATCAATATAATTTGCCCGCCGAAAATTGAATTTTTGAGTATCACCAAACTCAAATCCTTGCATAGTGTCACTAACACAGAATGCGATTATTATAGCAGGATGATGCAAATCCTCCCGAACTAGTGGTAAGTCATTCCTGACTACCGCAACATTGAAATTAGCTAAAACTAAGTCTAAAAGTCGGCCGCTATGATTTCTAACATCGTTATAATTTATAAGGTTTGAAAAAGAGCAAAACTGGTTTAAACTTTGACATTTATGATCATTTCTGTCTAAATTAAAAGCAGGGCTGTTAAAGTCACCGAGAGTTAAAATTTGGCAAGAATCAAAAACACCATTGAATGTTTCCAAGGCATCCAGGTAATACTCAAACACCTCCGTCGTTACAGAAGGTGGGACATAAAACCGTGTAGATAACAAGAAGCTTATACTGAAAAACAATTATAATTGCTACTGTGTCAATGAGAGGAAATGCTGCATTAAGAACATCAACATTGATTGCCATGACATGAAAAGTGTTCTTTACAGCTATCAAAGAACCACCACCTGTAGACAGATGTATGGAGTTTAGATTTCTGTCACACCTGAAGACATAATCAGCAGGAAACAGTTCAATATCATTAACCTTGTCCGAAATCCACGTTTCAGATAAACAAATCAAGTCATACTCACAATCACAAATGGAGTTGAAGAAAGTATTAACTTTGGGGTTCAACCCCCTTACATTTTGATAACAGCAGTTTACTTCATTGTAACTGCTCGCAGAGGAATCATAATTGGGTGAATCTATAAGTTTAAATGTACAATTTTTTGGAGTTCCGTTTACATATTTTATTTTCAAATTTCTCTCTCTTTTACTAACACGTTCATCTAGTTGCACTTTCAGTTGTCGGAAACACTCAATTTGTTTTAGTGTTCTATATCAAATGAGAGTGATACGTTTTTGAATTTATGAAACTTCTTTATATCACCTGCTTTCCTGATAACGGTAAGAACAATCTCTCCATCACCAACGGGTCTGCATTTGTTCTCTATATATTTCCCCATTCTTGTTACTTTTAGGCTTGAATTTTCAATCGGACAGTTAGCAGCCTCCAACAGTTCTTTAGCAACCAACAAGTCAGAATCGGTTCGATCCCGGCTAGATTCTGGCAAACCAAAAACCATAAAATTCTTCTTACGTTTGTCACGCTCATTCACTTCTTGTTCAACATCCTCAAATGTAAATGGATTTGGCATCGATTGAGTGGTCGAGCCCGTTAGACCGTTGATTTTATCTTCCAGACTAGAAATTTTCATGGCAAACTCATCTTTAAGTGACGTAATAAGATTTTTCAGGTCACCAAGTTGACCCATCAGAGTACTACAGTTATTACACAAGAACTTGATTGCTCTTGATTTGTTTCTAGTTATTCTAATTTCATCAGCATTGAGCCCCACACATGTTAGGTGCACTTGGCTACGACAGCCATCACAAGCAATGGAAGAACCCTGTCTGGTAAAACTAGTGGAACAGTTTGGGCACTTAGTACTCATGGCGGAGCTATCACGAAAGATCGCTGAATACGGCAACCTAGCAAACCGAGACTCGGAAAGAATGCAGGGTTATAGCAGATTCACTTTTTTAATTGACCACCAAATTCCCTGCAGATTATTACGTTTTTAGCAGTATACATTAACTTAGGACATCAACTGATCACTTTATCCACAATTACGACAACTGTAAACAGAGCCACATAACACACGACATATTTCGTTGTTCTTCGGTTTTACGAGGTGCTGGTAACAGCTGTATTACCGATCGACTTGCGCAGTGTGCAATTTCCCTTAGTGAAGTTAAGCTACACACATCGTATCATTAGTCAATCTGCTTAATTATGTCGTATGGCGGCATTGTGACGCAGCCTGCCTAAAACCTCGAACATAATTATAGTTAATGTCATTTTACCAATAATGCAAATCTTTGAAAACGGCTTATAATATCAACAAAAAGAAAACATGTGTACCTTACTTTCCTTGGTTGAAACAAATCGGTTATCTGTTGCATTCAATAATTTGATTGTATCAGAAGTAGATGTTTCAACAATTTTTTTCGGACTTCCATTGTCTATTCAATTTTGAGATCATAATGTCTTCAGGTGAACTGGCATAGATCTTCCTGGCGGCAATTTGTACTATTATGGCTGACGTCCTATATGATGACGAGTCCTGAGTGATGTGGCTGGTCGGTGATTATGTCGTCTTCTTCGGGATGTCTGTAGTGGTTATATTAACCTAGCGTCTTGATGCTGCTGATGATGTCTGTGGTGTTCTTTCCATGCCTGTTCTGCTATCCTGATTTCTCTGTTTTGGCCCGTCGAGTGTGATGTCGGTGCAGCAGAATTAAAGGCACTTCATTCCACTGCCAGCCCCTCGTGATCAGATATGAAAAACTCGCGACAGTTTCTCTGGGTATGAAGCTTAAATATGCACAAAGGTACATATGTATAAATGGTTCTGTTACAAAATTACAACTATGTTGCATCCAGAAAAAATGGCGGCTTGACATTGGTATAAGTCAATGATGTTGCTCTATGGATACATAAAAATACACACCCGCACACGAATTGGGTGTGATGGAAGACCGTTGTTTTCAAGCACTTTCTCAAAATACTCCAATAAATTCAACACAGACTGTCGACATTGTAGTTGTATCTTTAGGGAGTGCTATATCTTATATCAGAAAGCAACAAATTGTAAACTTGCACCTCTATTCCAAGCAAGTTGACATACTGACAATGATATATGATGGAAGACTCATACGTTAACGAAGAAATATTCATGGGGGTATTACAAAACAAAAAAGGTCTGTGAGCTTTCACAAATAGACGTCGGCCCACGAAGGTCAACTGCATATATATGTGCGAAGAAGATGGATCTATAAATTCCCGTGTATATTTGCTAGAGCAGCTCGGGGGCGTCACACTCCGGGTGCATACAACTCTCAATTCAAAAGCACTGGAAAGCGGCTAAGATCTACAGAGTGTTACAGAATTTTGTCAGGAACACTGAAAGGCAGATTCGGCGCGTGAAAAATTTGGAAAAAACATCAATTTATCGTTATCACAAAACAGTAACCGTACTGGCTGTTTTTTAATGGACATAGAAACATGTAAGTGTCATTTTTGAAGAAGAATCAATATGGCTTTGAAAAAACAGTACTTTTGCAAGAACCAGGTTGCGTCTAATTTTTCTCAAGAACAAAATTAAACGACCGGTATCATGAAACCGGGGGTTTCTAGACCCACGTTTATGTAGGTATATATCTAGCTTTTTTGTTACGTGTTGAATCTACCCTTACATTCTGTATAACGATACGGATTTTTCAAAACACACCCAAAATTTTTCAGGTAAAACCATCAAATGTTTGGCGCACGAAGTATCGTGTTTTGTTACTTACCCTTAAAATCTAGCTTCAAGTTAGCCAATAAGAATCACGTTATCCAATAAACAATAAAGCATATTCATTTATCTATATAATTTTATGAATTTGATGCCCATCATACATTTTATACATCTAAATAAATTTAACAAGGTAGAACCATTTACCTGGTTTGTCAACACAATTGTTAATGAGATCTTCCCACAAGTCTTGGTCATCATGCTCTTGACAGAACGATATTGCGTGCTGCATGTCTTTGAGTTCGTTTATTATCAACTCTAAAGCTTCTTTGGTATCTCCCATTCTACCTTTAATTTAATATATATATAAAATTATTCCTAAAATATCTTCATCCACGGCCGAGCGGTAACGTGTTATTATGAACATGTCTTCCGGGCAGTAAGTTCCAATTTTAGGCTAGGGGCTATTTTACCCGCCCAGGGCGGTAACAGAATGTTAGCGTTAGCTATGTTCAAATTGTCTGCAACTACCGGCACGTCTTGATATGGTATGGTAAATTTATTTAAACTCAATGACTTCTCTGATTTTTGACTTACTCAATAGTTGATCGTAGATAACATTTGTATTTTGGAGGAAAGACGCGTTTAGATTCACGCTGCGGTCCATAAACATCAAACGTTTCGCCCTAGATACATAAATAACTATTACGAGCGTTACAGTTTCAAAATTATGCTCACCTAACAGGTACACCATTTCTGGATAGTATTTCTCTTTTTGACATATGTTCAAGGCTTCTTGGATCGGATAGTGTTCGGATTTTTTCAGAAATGGTAACAGTTTATTTTCTCTGTCAAATATGGCATATAATGAAATAAGTTCTCTATGGTATTTACCTTTGATATTCTTTTTGTCATATTCATCCAAAAACTGTAAGAGAATTAAGTTACATATGTAGCAATGTACGTTAAGGATCTTGGGGTCAGAACGTTATTTATCATAACGGCTGGTCATCTCCAATATAATTTTTATTGAAATATTCTTACAAAAGAATTGTAAAAGACAAGATGTCAATTCGAGTCGAAACCGCGTGTGGAAACCGACACTGTCACTGTGGCATATTAAAATGGTGATCAAAAACAGGCATATGCATAGTGTCTCTTAAATCTTGTATGAAAAAACTATTGATTCTTTTTTCGAAATAGCTTCCAGCATAATACTCGCAGAATCATACAATGACCCCCAGGCAGCAATCTGTTCGTATTCGGATGTAGAGCTTCATTCTTTCAGCTGTGATTTCACAAACAAAAAAAGAATCGTATGTAGTCAAGTCAGTACAAGGAAGATTATCTAAGGCTTGGATTCTACATTTTCAAAAAAAAACTACGCGTCGATAAATACTCATAAACAAATACATTTTGGGAAAATCTATTTATGGGATGTTATACATGACATTTGAGGGCACATTTATAAAATATTGGCCCTTATACAGGGTGTCCCAATTTCGACCTACATATCAAAGTTGTGATTTTTCAAATGGAACGCCTCAAATTTTATTGCATATTTGGATAAACCAATTCAAAAGAAGAAAATTGATATAGCATACTATGGGGTTTTGGTAATTAGCTACTGAGATATAAGGTGTTTTGTCTAGAAAAGCCCCCCACTTCGGCAGCCCTCAGTTCGCCATTTTAAAATTTGGAGTGCTGAATTTTGTATCAAAAAAACTTACACACCTCAGCTTCTATCTTATTTGTTACTTTTTCGAATTTTCATTTTTGCTCATACAGGGCGGTCAAAAACGCAAACTGTAGTTTTTCTAAAAAATTTATATTTGTGCAAGGTTGGATTCTATTTTTTATAATCTTTTTTTTACACTAGACACATCAGGGTTTTTATGGCTATTTTTTCGCTTATTAGCACGTATTTTATGGAACGGCTTAATTCCCTAAAATATTGCATCATACTTGGAAACAAATAAATTGTTGATTAGTTACAAACTGTCAAAATTAGTGTTGTGAGCATTATAATAAAAACGTGTTTGAAAATGAATTTTTCTAAAGAAGAAATGGTGAATATGGTGTTCGTTTTGGGCCAAGCCCAAAGAAATAATTTCCTAGCATCTCGCATTTATAAGCAACGGTGCTACCCTAATATGCGACATCCAAGGCCGGAAACATTTTCCACACTACGAGAACGGTTTGAATCAAGTTGAGCAGTGGAATAAGGTAAATAATGTATAAATAATCCAAGTGTCGCCAATGAGGCGAATCAGTTGGAGATTCTATTAAAGTTGCAGGAAAATCCCCATTTAAGTGCACGGCAAATTGGAGCAAAAACTGATATCTGCAGAACTTCTACCCAAAGAATTATTTACAAGCTTAGGTACCATCCATATCACCTATGCTTGCATCAAGGCCTTTGTCCTCAGGATTTCGCAGCTCGAATGAAGTTTAGTAGAATAATGCTAAATAAAGTGAATGAAGACACTACTTTCCTGGATAAAGTTCTTTTTAGAAATGAGGCAACTTTTAACAGCATAGGTGTTGACAACAGGCACAACATATAACATGCACGATTATGCGACGGAAAGCCCTTACTGGGTTAGGTAAATAGATTTACAAAATAAATGGAGCTTGAATGTTTTGCGAGGAGTTATTGGCAGACAAGTTATCGGGCCTTTCTTTTTCGACAACAAATTAACAGGTACAGAATACGTGAATTTTTTGATCGAGCATTTGTCTCTGCTTTTGGAGGATGTCAACCTGGAGTCTCGGATGCATATGTACTTCCAACATGACGGCGCACCTGCGCATTATCATAATCGTGTGCTTAACTATTTGGACACCTGGAGTAACAATCGTTGGATCGGTCGTGATGGCCTCTTAGATCACCAGATATGACACCGATGGACTTCTTTCTATGGGGCAACGTTAAGCAAGACGTTTATAGATATCCACCAGCTAGCCCGGAAAATATGAAGGAGAGGATTAAGGATGCTTTTCTGAACATAAGGGGACACATGCTGAGGGATGTGCAACGGTTATTTATCCAAAGACTACGGCTGAATATTCAACATGGTGGAGATATTTTCGAGCAGTTTTGTAGATTAGGTCTTGAGTAGTGATAGTTGTTTGTTTATGTTGTTGTTATAGTTGTTTTTCTTTATTACGCTTGAAGCTGATTTATAATGTCCTGATTGTTATTAGTTTTTACGTCCAATCTGTACTTTTAGTGGCAATTTGGAACTAGCCCACTGTTGGTCTTTTTGTTTCCATGGATGATTCACCAAGGGATGCCGATTTCTATCAAAATCTCCACAACCCGTTAAAACCCCAGTACTGGGTGTGGAATTATTCCACTAACGCGGGTTTTGGGCCGCTGAACTTCTACAAGATCATCGAAAATAGCACCAAGACACCTTCAGCTGTCGTATTTACGGTTGATGGAAATTATAAAAAATGACCTTCAACGAGATGGAGTGTAGAGTACGATTTTCTACCATAAAATTAGTGTGTTTTGTTATAAAAAAAAAATTCGATATTTTTAAGAACTGCTATAAAATTATTATTCTAAATAAGAAAAACGTAATAATTTACTTCATCAAGATAAAGTTAATTTTAGTCGACCATAAGAAGAAACTGTAACAAGTTTCAGGAACTACATATAGACCATCATTTTCCAAAATATGCTGTTGTGAATGCGGTAGTATTTTCATTATGCTACGCGAATGGTTGAAATATTATTAGCCATTTTGTTTATTCTGACAGTAGTCTTTGCCCCCTGGCCACAAGCAATGCTGGAAAATAAACAAATGCACAATCATTAATGACCGGTAGTATCTATCCTCTATATGCCGCCGGCGAGTCGATGTGTTGTCGATGTGAAGATACAACGAGCGCATCGACGATCTAGGTCTGGAATTTTTGAGTACAGCAAATACAATATTTTGTTTATCAGGCACGATGTTTGCCACTTGATCCAATTTCCTGAGAAAATGCACGTTTGTTCTTTCTCCAACCGATCACGGTTTTTTTTTTCATTTGAGCCGGTTCATCATTTTTTAAAACCCATTCTCGGATTTATCTTTTGAAAACATCAAAAAATATATAATTAGCTATTATTAGCTCGTTATCTGTCGTGATTGTAGCTTTTCAGCATTTTCTTTTGCATCAAGTTACTCTTGTCATCCTATGTTCGTCAGTAAATGTGTGGGCTACCCAAAGGGTACAAAGTTTATTAACATTGATGGTGATCGGAGAGACAAGCACTATCTGATAGAGACTTTTTATCAAAACATTTGATCAAAATCAGGGTGTTACAGTTTATTGTTGCATAACTTTAAGATTCGATAGAACTTTTAAAATTAATGCATAAAGTCTATATAAACATGGGTCGAAAAATGCGTGGCTTCCGAAATACAGGGTGTTTAAATTTACTTTCTAAAATAGTTTTTTTTAAATATTTCGAACAATATGTGAAAATTGGTATACAAGGGTTTTTTGGTACGACAAAACGAACCATGGGCATAGTTTTACTGTAGCCGCTAGAGGGCGCTCTCTACTCTTCTCTACTCTTCTTAGTGCAATTTTTTGCTTTTTGAATAAAAAAACTGATTCTTCGCACTTTTCTGCATAAAAAAGCTCTCCTATGAGTTTTCGTTATAGTTAGCCGTTTTTGAGATATTTCGATTTTTAAGGTTCGATGCATTTTTAATTATTTATGGGAAAATAATATTTTTTTACATTTTCGATTTGGGCATTACAAGTAATTAAGATTTAGATTGTATTTTTATACACAGCAATAATTCCTAACTCCAAATAAACACAAAAAAACAGAATATTATTTGTTCAATTTTCCAATATTATTTTTAACTAATTAAATTAATTATTTACAACTAAAATGCTATTGGATAGTTAGGACAAACATACAAAATCTAAAGTAGTTGCTCGAAATGTAAACCCAATTGTTCAATACACAATTCACATCTACGAATGATCGAACGTGGTATAGCATTATTCAAATAAGGCCTTATTTCATCACATGCATTCCTGATTCTGTCTATTAGCATATCTCTTGTGGTTACGGGAGTCTGGTACACTTTTTCTTTTAGAAATCTCCACACAAAGACATCTAACGGATTAAGTCAGGGAATCGTGGAGGCCAGGCGACTGGTCCTCCACGGCCGATCCATCTTTCTGGATAATTTTAGTCTAGCCAGTTTCTAACTATTCTCGAATAATGAGCTGGACAACCATCAAGCTGGAACCAGGCCAATCTTCTTAAATCTAACATAACATCATCCCACATATTTGCATGTTCAGCCTTTAAAAATTCCAAGAAGGTCACAGCATTTAACCTTGCAGGCAAAAGGTATGGTCCAAATAGTCGATTACGGTAGATACCAATCCACACGTTCACACTAAATTCCTGCTGAAAATTTCTTTCCCGAACTGCATGCGGATTTTCATGCGACCAAATATGTTGATTATGAAAATTTACCAGTCCACGTCTAGTGAAGCATGAAACGTTACTTAAAAACTCCCTATTATTATCAGTTCTATCAAGAATCCACTGACAAAATGTGATTCTTCGTTCTCCGTCCACTGGTTGTAGTCCTTGCACAGGTTGCAAATGGTAAGGACGTCTATGGTCATTTCTAAGAACACGGTGAACATGGCTTGCTGAAATTCCTAAGGCACCAGAAACTATCCTAACACTTGTGGTCGGATCTCTATCAAACTCACGCAGAATCATACGGGTAAATCTGCGCTGACGAACACTTATGTTTTGATCCCTCTGGAGATTTGGCGATGCACTCTTACAAATACTGAGTGAGTCTGTTTGGAAATCTTCGTGCGTATTCTCTGGCTGCTTCTGCTGCGTTTCCATTTACAAAGCCATACACAAAATGCATATCCGCTATCCGCTAACTCTTGATTGGAGAATAAAACTTACAAAAACAAAAACAGGTAAAAGAAACTAAATTTCGTCCATTCACAATTGCAAAAAACGTTTCAGGTTTCAACAGACAACAAAACTAACTGTCAACTAATTGACCTTATTCTGCTTTCAATTTCAAAAATATTTGCAGGCACAGCCTACTTCTAAAAATTATCGAGATACTGACTTTTTGACGTTATTTTATCATAAATAATTAAAAATGCATCGAACCTTGAAAATCGAAATATCTCAAAAACGGCTAACTATAACGAAAATTCACAAGAGAGCTTTTTTATGTTGAAAAGTGCGAAGAATCAGCTTTTTTATTCAAAAAGCAAAAAATTGCACAAAGAAAAAGTTTTTGGTCATTTTAATACACTACAGGTACAGGAGAGAGCGCCCTCTAGCGGCTACAGTAAAACTATGCCCATGGTTCGTTTTGTCGTACCAAAAAACCCTTCTACAGGGTTATCCAAATTAAGTGTCCACCATTGGTAACTTTGTTATTAGTAAAAATACAAAGTTGTTTAAATTAGCAAACTAGTAGCATTTTTAACGCTGGTAAAAATGAGAAATAAAAAAAAACAATTGAGAGTCGTTATTTTGATTTTTTTCAGTAAAATAACATTTTTTTAAATGGAAACCCCTGTATATTATATTTTTTTCTGTTAAAGCATCAAATTTTAAACAAAAAAGTTCATAATGACTTTTCCGCTAAAGTCAAAAATAAAGTCAAAATAACGATAAATATTTTTAATTATTTGCAGTATTATAATATTAAGACGGCTATGAAAACAACATGGCGTTCGCGATTTGACAGCATTAAGATAAGCGACAAATTGTTAAACTGGACATACTCGCAACTAGAAGGCTTTGGAAAACAATGATAAAATCAAATAATGTCAAACATTAGTGTAAATACTTGTATATAAGCTTTATTGTGTCATTAATTTAAAGAAAAATGTTCTCCCATGAAGAAAAGTGTGATATGTTAGAATGCTATTTAGTGTGCAGAAAATCCTCCTTGAGAGCAAGAGAATACTACAGTGAATTATATCCCGCTCGCATTCAACCGTATGAACGATATTTTCTGAGACTTTATCGAAAATTTAGGGGCAACGAAAATGTTTTTGCTAAAACAAGGGCAAAAAAAGAATTCATAATAAGCGAGGCCACGGAAATTGCAGTTATTGGATATTTTGAAGCTTATCGTGAGAATTCAATAGCAGATATTCTCAAGGACTCTAATTTCAGTTATGGTACTGTTCAAAGGATTTTAAAAAAATACAAATTTATTCCGTATAAGTACCGACCAGTTCAAACGCTTTTGGCAGGGGATCCAGAGAGAAGACTTGTTTTTTGCCATTGGTATCTTAGCTTCTGTCGCCAAAATGTAAATAACTTTCGTTACCTTTTATGGACAGATGAATCAAATTTTTCAAATTCTGGAATGTTTAATAGAAAAAACCACCATTATTGGTCAAGAGAAAATCTTTTGTTAGTACATCCAAGAGGCCCACAAGTCCGTTTCAATTTCAACGTTTGGTGGTTCAAAAATTGTTGGCCCGTTCTTTTATGAGGGAACCCTAACTGGTGAAAGATATGTGGAATTTATGTCAGAAATTCTGACTAATTTCTTAGACGAATTGGATCTTATAAGTAGACATCATCTGCATTTTCAGCAAGATGGCGCACCTGCCCACAACTCCAGAGGTACTTATCATTTTCTAAGTACTACTTTTAATGATCAGTGGATAGGAACAAATGGCCCAATACAGTGGCCTCCCAGATCACCAGATCTAAACCCACTTGATTACTTCTTATGGGGTTACTTAAAGAACCAAATTTACAAGCGAAGGTACGATAACCTTGACGCGTTAAAGACTGCAGTTAGGGAAAAGATAACCCAGATAGATGGTAGGACCATACTTAAGACAGTTCGAGCAGTTGAAAAACGTGCCCAAAAATGTATTGAAGAACAAGGTGGTGTTTTCGACCATCTTCTTTAAAAAAAATTGTTATTGTATTTTGTAAGATTATAAGTTGATGTTGAAAATAAAGTTTGTCGATACAATTTAATTGTTTCAGATTGGAGGCCATAACTTCAACAATTTGTAACCTAGGAGAAAAGTTATTGTAAGCTTTTTTGTTTAAAATTTGATGCTTTAACAGAAAAAAATATAATATACAGGGGTTTCCATTTAAAAAAATGTTATTTTACTGAAAAAAATCAAAATAACGACTCTCAATTGTTTTTTTTTATTTCTCATTTTTACCAGCGTTAAAAATGCTACTAGTTTGCTTTGGATAACCCTGTATACCAATTTTCACTGTTATACATCAAATATTGTTCGAAATATTTAAAAAAACTATTTTAGAAAGTAAATTTAAACACCCTGTATTTCGGAAGCCACGCATTTTTCGACCCATGTTTATATAGACTTTATGCATTAATTTTAAAAGTTCTGTCGAATCTTAAAGTTATGCAACAATAAACTGAAACACCCTGTATAATCGCAAATACAAAAAATAAAATTGTCGACAACGTATCATATAAATGACGTAGAGGCGGTGGAAGAAAATTCAAGCTATACGCATATTAAAGAAGTGAATCTGATAGACCTATCACTTACCCTATATAAGTGTAGTTTATTTGACTTCAGCTTCTCAACTACAATTCCAGAAGGAATGGGTTGTTTGTCTAAAAGTAAAGCTATTGTTTTTTTATAATCCAAATCCATGAATGTCGTCAGCATATCTTCTATCACACTATACAAGTTGTGTTTTTCTATAAGCGTAAACACATCCTTATGCTTTAATCTGAAAACAATGGATGAATTCATGGATCATTAAATTGTTAGCAATTTGTTACATCGTACGATGCTATTTTAGGCCAGTCGTCCAGTGAACGCATTTTGGTTCGATTTATATGCGTCAGCAATCAGACTAAGATACCCGAGATTCTGAACAATATTATTAGTCTAAGAAATATACCAAAATTTCTTGCAGAAATTTTAATTGTAAGGAGACAAAAATTTGGTAAAATATCCAATCCGTATCCATAAACGTCATTTTTTACTTTTTCAAATATGTAATTATTTACTGTAGTTTAGGAGGAGCAGTATTGCATTAACAAGCAATAAAGTTGTAGTCTTACTCAATGATATGGTGCAATTATTTGTTTACAAAAACGAAATTGCTAATCCTTACTTTGGAAGACAGTTAACTGAGGTTACGCGAAATCACTTTTATTATTTTTTTGATACAGATCGCATGCGTTTTAAGCAGGCGACATTATAACAAATCCAGGATGTCGGCGAGAGATGCACCGCCTTTCTGAAATCTAGCGCTTAGCTCAGGTGATCGCCATAGCAACCAATTATTATTATTGATTGGTATTTGTAACACTGTAACAAGATTCGGTATATCTTTGTTCGAAATTTCAATGTTATGGTTTTTTCTTCCCATAAAAAGTTTTAACATGTTTTATTCATTAAAAATAAATTCTTTTTTTTTACATAACCGAATGTATAAGAACTCGCTACTTGCAAGACCATAACAGTAATGTCCGTGGCCTAGCGCCTTGAAACAAGCGTGTTAGGCGAATGTACGGTTGTGAAGTTGCTTCGAATCCAATTATTGACAACTTTTTGTGTTTGTTTTCTTTTTTGCTATTTTATTTTCCATTTAATACTGCTATTAACAAACATGTTGCCGTATTCTTATACTTTTGATGAATAATAATTGTCATTTATCTTTCCAATAGTTTATAGCACTAATAATAATTGTTTGATAATATTCTTAGTGAATATGGGAATCATACTGAGCATAACATTTTTTTTAGACAAGTTGATTAAGTTGACCAATTTTATAAGGTAGTTACGTATTTAGTTTTGATGCGTTATTGGAGCTCAATAAAATCATTTTCCTTCGAACAGTGTATATGATATATGATTACATCTAGTGGTTCGGGTCGAGTTTGAGTTAATATAGTTTCCATTGTAGCTACTGCGTGCCGCCCTCTGGTGTTATTTGGGTTCACAATGAATAATGTCACTTCTAATAATTCATATATGAATATGTCACTTCTAATAATTCATATATATGAATACGGTAACATTTTTGCGAACAAAAAAACGAAAACTGAAATAGCAAAATTAAATAAAAATTCGTTCGTTGCTTTCGGACGCCCTGACCGCTGCACCACCAAGCTTGTTGCGAAATTTTGCTAGCAGTAATATTTATATGATAGGTGTATATTGAATGAATGAATATTGAAAATAGATATATTAAAATTACTTGATAAAGGATTATTTTAGATTTTACTTTATTTCAAATGGTGAAATAATTGAAAATGTTGAATCAATCAAATATTTAGGTATATACATTGATAGTAAACTAAAGTTTGATGAACACTATGGATACATTATTTCAAAAATTGCCAAAAAAAAATTACTTTTATAGGGCTTCTCATAGTCTTGGTACATATTCCAAGAAAATAGTTTATAATACAATTATTCTACCGCATTTACTATATTGTCCTGCAAAATAAAGCTATGAGAATGATATTGAATAAAAATAAGTATAACCAAATAAAATCTATGTTACAAGAAATAGAGTGGTTGAATATAAATGATTTCAAATCGTATTTGGTGCTTATTTTTATATTTTAAATAAAAAATCATCTTTTACCACAACATCTAGAACACTATATGTAGAATTGAATAATCATTACCACCGTTATTATACCAGAGGAAATATAGATTTTCATTTACAAAATTGCAATAGTAATATAACTAGCAAATCAATATTTCGGACAGGATTACTTGAATTTAATAAATTAATAATGATATAAAGTCTATTTGTAATTTAAAGATGTTTAAAAGAACATTAAAGGAATATTTCATGGACAGTGAAAATTCTTAGAGATGCAAATTTTGTTTTGTAAAAATCTATATGTTATGTAATTGTTTAGTTTTTCAGAAGAATGTAATTGCAGCAATCATGCTAAATAAATCTTAAACAAACAAAAAAACAAAATCCATCTGTCATATTTTTCTAGTATTAATTAGTCATTTTCGACGCGCTTTCAGAAAAAAATTACTACCACCAATAGGCAAAGTAAACATCGTAACTACGAAGTATTTCTAGCTAGTCTTGTAGCTTCCTTGATGAATAGTGGACTACTTCGAAGTACTTAGAAGCATTTCGTAGTATTTCCTGGTACTTAGAACTAATTAAAAGTACTGATATTAAATTTCACTACATAACTACTCATCGAAACGCTCAGTACAGATGTTCCGATACCGTTCATACTCATTCAAGTAATGTCAAAACGGTCTTCGTTAACTCAACTCACTATAACCACGTGTTCTATGTGATATTCTACCATTCGCTATCTTCTCGTATACGACTTTGATCTGTCTTACATAGCAGATTTGTTTCGCCAACTTCTTCAATTTGTGCGATATCTTCATACGTCTATATTTCAGAAAATTCAATATTTTGATACATTAATTTGATATACTCGACTATCGAGTTGTTAGAAAACTAAAATAGCGGACAAAAGTTTGGAAACAAGTATTAACATTATCATGAACTATTTTATATACCTAAATTAAAATCGTGACGGAACAGATAATATAAATGTTAAATTCTACCTTTAGGTCCCGTACTAATACAAGGTTTATCTTATCAATATTCAAATTCTATGAAAATAAAAACACGCGTTTCTTAAAAACCATAGTTTTTGTATCGACAAAGTATAGAAACATTTCAGTTTTGCCATATTTATTCGTTCTGGGATACTCTGATATTGCGTGCGATAAATAATTCACATCAGTGACAATGGCAAAAGTAAAAGAATGTAAAAAAAATCAAGAGACAACGTAATTGAATTATTTAGAAGTGGTGTCAGAAATGTTGACATTTCTCAAAGATTAAAAATGAACAAAGGGACGATCCCGAAAATTATTAGTAAATATCACGGATACGGATCAACAGCAACGCGGTCCAGGTGCGGAAGATCGATTATGTTTTGGATCGCTACATTAAACGTTTGTTGCAGCAACGCAGATTTTCAAAAGAATCGTAGAAGAGAGTGCCGGAATATTTCTGTCAGAACAGTGCACAGACGCTTGGTGAATTATGGGCTTTTTGGTAGGCGTTCAGTGCAAAAGCCTCTAATTTAAAAAAAAATCGTATTGCTCGGCTTGAATTTGCTAAAACTCATCTAACTTGGACAGAATTACAATGGAATACAGTTTTATGGAGCAATGAAAGCAAATTTAACTTGTTTGGATCTGACGGTATGGCATATACAGGGTGAATGGAAATTCGACCTATTTCCTAAAAGTGGTGATTCTAGAGGTTATTTGTGATAAATTAATTCCCATCAACTGGGGGTCGGAAATAAGCGGTTTCCGAGATATCGGCATTTCAAGATTTTTTAAGAATTTTCTGCTTACTCAATACAATTTTTTTTTAAATCTACTCATTTCTTTGAACTGAATTGATGGTTTTCTGATAGCTGTGAAACTAGCAAATAATTGAGATAAGAACGCTATACCAAAAGTTTGAAACTCTTAGAAATAAAAGGCTGTTAGTGAAGAGATTTTGATTTATTATTTCCGAAAATCGTCATAAGTTATTTGAAACAAAATGTATGATACTCGGCATACAGATTACTAAAATAATTGCAGAATTTCATGAGCTTTCCAAAATCATACAAATCTTATGGCAGCATTTGAAAAAAAAACAGCAGCCATCGATTAGAGGTAGCAGATTTCGTAAATCCAATTTTCACAAAACAGCTTTCTCGGAATAAAATGCAACGCATTTCTACGTGTCAAACTGACTCGTTTAACTCCGTAAGTATTCGGGTGTGCCCATCGGAGTGTCCAATGAGGTTCGTGATGCGTCATGACCGACAGTTTGTTTATCGCTTAGTACCAACTATCTTTGGAATTCAGACGAGTTGTATCGTGTTGTGACCTTACTAAATATTCCTGAAAATTGTCTGTGTGTGTAATGGCTCTTGCGAAAATGAAGAATACGCCCACATTATGTATTGTTACGGGTTTTGTAATGGTGAATCTGCTGCAACACGAAGGGATTACCAAAGGCGTTTCCCTACCGGCGTTTACCTGATATAAGCGTGTTTAGTACTACTTACCGACGCATTCGAGAATCTGGCACGGTTCATCGACGACAAATAGACGCTGGCAGACCTGTTATCTATAATGCTGACGAAGAAGAAATTTTAGAGTGTTTTCGAGCAGACCCCACTGTGTCAACTAGACAAGTGACACGGCAACTTGGCATATCCCAATGGAAATCCTGGTTTATTGCTCATACAGTGCAACTTTATCCATACCATTATACTCCAGTGCACGCTAGGGAGGAGGGTAACCCTGCACGAAGTATTAACTTTTGTAGATTCTTAATTCATGCCGATATTGAAAACCCAGACTACCTCAAAAATATCCTTTGGACTTATAAATCGAAATTCGATCGTGATGGTATTACAAATTACTACAATGCCCACTATTGGGCCCCTAAGCGCAAAATCCAAAACAATTCAAGGAAGGCAAGCACCAGAGAAGATGCTCGTTAAACGTTTGGATGGGAATTATACATAATAAATTGATTGGCCCTTATGAAAACTTTTTAAGAAATTAAGTAGATGCATTACTAGAAGATGTTCGGCTAGCTAGGAGAATCAATATGATATACCAGCATGATGGCTGCCCAGCCCAATATTTTCGAGGTGTACGACAATGGCTGGATGAAAAGTATCCGCAGAGATGGATCGGTCGAGG